GGGGGGGGGTTGCGGGCAAGATGGAATTTGGCCCAAGAAAGAGGCAGCTAGAGGAACCGATTGACCTCATGGCCCATGCTTCTCGGACGACTCGTGCTCGGGCACGTAGTTAGTTTCGCCCAGAAGCACCGGCGGAGACGTCATGGCTGTCTGGGCGCTGGGTTGGGGCTGGCTCTGCACAGTAGGTCCGGTGGTCGCCACGGCGGCGGGCTGAGACTGTTGGTGAGACGATCCGCCGGACGGCCGCGAGGCGGCGTGCGCGGTTGCCGCGTGGAGCCTTTGGTCGAGAGCCTTGAGCGCGACGGCCCGCCGCCTCTCGGCCTCCGCCCTCGCGCCCCCGGGGGCGCCACGCTGCAGGAACGCCCCACCGTCGCCGCGCGACGCGGCAACGTCGGCCTGCGAGAAGGGGCTGCAGAGCCTCAGGGCGACCATGACGTTGAACACCTGCACCGAGACACCCGCTACGAACGGCTTGGCCGGCCCCGGGAAGAATTCGGCAAATGCGAACGTTTCGCTGGCGTCGCCGCGGAGGGACGCCGACTGCGACGAGTCTAGGTCGGGAAACGCCGTCTTGTAGAATCGCAGGTAGGTCCAGCTCGTGAGCATGCCGAATATGGTGAGGAAGAAGGAGGCGCTCGTGAGCATTGGCGTGAGCGAGAGGACCGTGATGACGCCGACGTATAGGATGGGGAATCTGGGCACGCGCAGGGACACGATGCCCCGGAATAGAGTCACCGTGTGGGCCGGGACCAGTTGGCTGAAGGCAACGAGGAAGGAGATCTGCAGCGGAATAGTGCCGCCAATGGTCGAGAGACTAGACGGGGATGAAGTGTGCCATGTTAGCGAAACGAATCCTAGAGAGCCAGGCTTGCCCCCCGCCCCCCTGCTCGGAAATGGCCAGGGTCATAGGGCACAGGAGGGGTACGTGGTTCGAGAAAGGCGAGCAGTACGTACGTCCAGTGCTCGTTCTGGGTGAAGATGAAGAATGTAAACATGACGGCGAAGCAGAGGAAGTTGGGGACGAGAGAGCTGATGAGGAGGAACTTGGCAAACTCCCTCGAGGACCAGGCCCTCTCCAGGTAGCGGCCACCATTGTACAGGGTGACGGTGGCGATGGCGAAGGTGACGAGGTTGGTCTCAACCAGCGTGGTGGTTACAAAGGTCCAGGGGTAGACGAGCGACAGCTGCGGGATCAGGTTGAGGTACGGGATGACGATGTCGGAGTGGGCGGACCACTGTCGGTAGCGGATCGCGGCACTCAGGGCCGACTGCAGCACGAGCGCGACGAGCAGGGCGCGGGTAACTGGCGGGATATTTATTCGGGGCGGCATGGCGTCCGGGGTTGTGATGCCGCTGCTAAGCCTGCTGCTGTTGCGGCCGCGGTGCCGAGCTGACCTCTGTGCTAGGCCTACGGCTGCCTTCGCTGGTCGCTCCCGTCGGCGGGAAGGTAGGTCGTGCTAGCGAAGCACGGCGTGTATTGGACGGGGAGCAAATGCTTCTTCGTGATGACCGCTTCAATCGCACCGCGCGCGCTTGGCCAATGTACATCTCTTGCCTTTTTTGCTTCGTTCAGGAAGGCTCAGGTGCTCACAAACCAGGGTCCCATCCAACGGCGGTTGTGGTGGGTTGGTCACGTGATGACATCATTCGATGCTGCAAAACCTCAGCTGCCACGATGGAATGGTTTCCAGTCCAAAAAGTCCAAGGCAAGGCGTATACTATCTGTCGGCGCATACCTATTACTTAGATCGTGCCAGTCCAGATGCCAGGCTCCACCGTCATACCAGTGTGTAGTCTTTTTACTTTAGATGCCTAGTATGGAGCGAATGAGCACTTCCGGCTTGCCACTCCCATCGTCCACCGGCTGTCTAATGTCATCGCCCATCCTTGGACTCATGCCCTAGGCCACACTCGAAGCAGCCATATCGAGGACCGACCCTGGTGCAGGGCTGCAGGAAATGCTGACATGCCATGGGGGGTTCTGTGGCTGTAACTCCTCCGCACATGTGGACCAGTGTCATCCCAGCGAGGGGCAGGCAGGTCATTTGAAGCTTTCATGCCGCGTCGACGAACTCGTTCTGACTGACTCTATCCTTCTCCGGCTTCTAACATGCCTACCATCTGCGTCTAAAGCTATCCGCTGCCCGGCTTGAACGTCATTTGGCATCTCTCTCAGCCTGCCCACACGTGCATGGCTGCTCCATAGCGCTCCTGTAAGTGATGGTGGCATTTGCTGTGGTGGTGGTCCTTGCCGCCGCGCATAGGTGCCACATCATCAACTGCTAAGACATGGAGCCCTGAGCCGGAGCCTAGTGGCCCAGTATCAAGCCCGGGCCTGTTGGTGGTGTGGGGAAACGAGCCCAGGCGGTCAAGAGGAAGTGCGTCTGAACAATCGTCGCTTATTTGCAGCTTTGGGCCAAAGTTCGAGCATTTCGAGGACCTCGATTCGCCAGTGGCGCAATACTCGGTGCGCATGTGTCTGGCTGCATAGGTACATGTGTGCCTCTGCGCAAGGCGGTGGCTGATGCTTGGTGCCTGATAGCCAGCTTGCCGTCCATCGCCCAGTTGACTTGCCTGCCCAAAGCACCCCTCCAAAGGCAATTGGATGCCGCCTTGCATGGCGTGTGGAAGCGTGGAAAGCCACCTAACTGCACGTCGTGCCATTGGCGTCCCCCTGAAATAGGTTGGCGTCGGGGCTTTAATGTGTGTGTGGAATGGTCGTGTTTTGTTCTATCGCTCCGGCCAGCGCCCCCGGCACCGTCTAGTCCTGAGACCAAGATGTCTGCCCGCCGTGGTGGATCCCAGGGATGAACCATGGTTGGGCGGGTGCATCCTTGTGATCCCCACCACGTTTGCGAGTGAGGGCAAAAATGGGCGATGATCTGGACCGTTTCGACGCTGCCGCACACGACAAAATCCTTTCCCAAGCCCCCAAGCAGGCTGGAGTTCATCGTCGTGCGAATCGAGACACGGCGTCTAGATAACGCCAAAATGTAAGGCATCGATGTCGCTTGTAATGCCTCCAAAGCCTGGTGACGCTGGCTTGACCACGGTTTCGGGCAAGTTGGAAAAGATCCGAAGTGCCCGAGGAATCGGCTGCCAAGGAAAAACAGGGTCGGGTCAGACATGCGAAAAAGCTCGGAAAAGGAGAAAAAAGGTCCAATCCCAGACCAACGCCCACCAGTGTCACTTTATCTGCGCACAACGCTCCTCGCAACATGGATATTGATGGGAGGCCAAAGAGCTCAGTGGACAGTTATCTCGGATTGTAGGATCAGGACAGTCTTCATGAGCTGGCACATCGGGATCTGGAAGGAAGAAAAAGGAACAAAAAAAAAGCGCGACATGGGCGCCAGGTCTGGTTGGCGTCCCCACCTTCCCTGGTTCGCAGGCACGCGATTTGACCTGTACCCCGGCCGTATCGGTACGTGACCTATTCGCAATTTGCGGTAGATGCCTCACACTTCATCTCACGCGGGTCTCGCACCGGTACCCGAACGAACCCCCCGTGCGTCGATCCGAATCATGGCTTGGTGAAAGCTCTCCTGGTCATGGCAGCACCCTACACACGCCGCGAGGCCCTGACGAAATCACCGAGCGACCAAGGCTAAATTAAGCAAGGCTCTGCTGCGTGAGATGAAGTCGGGCGGCCTGGTGCAAAGATCGATCGTGCCTGAGGTCACTGGCGAGGCGCCGCCCTCACTCAGTCCAGGCAAGCGGCTCGCAAACGCCTATTGTGGGCTTTTGTTGGGGTGCCATGGGTGTGTGGACCAATGACTGGAGACTCATCATCTGCTGGCTGTTCCCCGTCTGGCCCCCGGAGGCTGCAGCGGCGGAGTGCCGAGTAAGGACTGCCCGTGCGTCCCAGCGCACACAGGAGGATGGATCCCCAGTTGTACATACGGATACCTGGGAGGGACAAAGTCCCTACCCGGATGCATGATGCACACGCACCATTCCGCTTTCGCACCAAGGCTGCGGGTGGTGCTGTGGTGCACACGCGCACGAATCTGTTTTTGCCTTGCAGGAGGGGGGATTCAGGAGCTGAGACCCGAGATACAAGATACAAGATACAAGATACCTGCGACCGAAGACAATCTGGTAGTTTCAAATCTGTCGCTCGGTGGCAACGCCAGGAAAGAAAGAGGCATCGAACGTGTGTGCCAGGCACAATAATAGACTGGCAAGCTTGGCTAGGGGACGTCCAAGGAGACTGGGAGGGTCGAGCTCAAAGTGGGCCCCTTGAGTGAGTTTGCAGGTGACAGGGGCAGGGCTTAGGCTACCCTTTCCCTTAATTGTATTCTTTTTTTCCCTATTATTTTCCTTGGGATTTCCCGTTTCTTTTGTCACCCCATTCTTTTCTGTCCACCATCGCCGCATGACCTCCTCGTTTGCGGGTTTGCCACCCGCTGTGGGGAGAGACCGATGGAACGGATAGATGTACCCGCCGCCGCATCGTCGGATTGATTGATTCAAGGCGGACGCCGAGCAGCAGAGCAGAGATGGCTGGTAAAACACTGGCAAATACTGAACAGAAGTTGATGGAGCCTAAATATGCACGCTCAACCCGACTTTTTTCAGATCCCAGCCAGCCACAGATGCATCTTCAATCGTCCCGTGTGAAGTTACACCTTGAGATGGCCCCGTTTGGGGGTTTGGGGGTGGCAGCATAGATGGGCCGAACGGAAGCCAACGAGGACACGAAAAGGGCGGCGGGCGGGGGGGCCCTGATGGGAGACCGGCGCAACCCAGCTCTCCAGTTTGTGCCTGGCTGCTAGCTCCTGGGGTGCGCGGGCGTTTGTGCGTGCTTGAGTGTGTGTGGCCGACCGGCCTGGCGGACGCTGTCCGTCCCTACTCGGTTCGACACCAGCAGTCCTAGACCAGGGGGGGGCCATGCTAGCCCACTTTTGGCGGGTACGGTACGTACCCGGAGCCATTCGCCTTGTGCGAGCAACCCTTCCACTGGATGGATCTTCCGGAGCACGCGCGGCCAATGGGAAGCAACCTGGTCCGTGAGGGCGTTAGGCAATTGGGGTGGCCCTCGGCATCCTGGCCCTCCCCTGGGTGGCACCCTCCCTGGCACAGTACGGGGAGGTGCCTGCTGCGCGCTGCGCCTGCGCTGCTGGCGCCGCCCTGGGCTGGTCTGGCTGGGGTGGGTTGGTCCGGGCAGCTGGCCTGGTCCGTCGCCTAAAAACAACATCCACTTGGATTGAGTCTTGGATTTTCTTCATCGTTGAATGGAACCTGCACCTGCTTTCCCTTCCTCGACAAAAACACCAGACAGACCGTGAACCCGCGCCCGCGACGCCCGAACAGCCCCATCCGCGCCAACGAGGAGCGCGCGCCTTTGCCTGAACGCCGTCGTCGCCCGCTCGGCCAGCAACCATGAAGGAATTTCTCGACTCGGACAGGGTCAACTTTCTTGTCTGGAGGTACGTTTTCCGCCCATCACCACCGCGACCACCGCGGCCGCCGCCTCGCACATTTTCGCGTGTCCTGCCCGTACCGCCCTCGATCGCCTCGCCACTCCCGTCTGCTGCGCCCAGCAGAGCCCTTGAGCTCACCAGCTGACCGTCTTTGCTTGTTCTTCCCCCGCCGTCCAGGTATCTTTTGGAAGGAAGTGAGTATCCACGTGGTGTCTTGAGTGCTTTGGCAGTAGATTTTTCTGGTCACGCTTTTTTTTTCCCGCTCGCCTGGCTCGGCGGCAATGTGGGTATCGTCGGTTGCGCAAGACTGACCGCACCCCGTGGCTTTTTTCTCTCGCCTTTCGACAGACTATCGAGAAACCGCAGCCAAATTCCAGAAGGAGTGGCATGTCCGAGAGCCACACCGGCATTTTGACTTTGCGCAGCATGTCAAAAGCCATGCGCTGGTCTCGGTCGTGAACAACGGGCTGCTGTACAATGCCCTCGAAAGGGAGTTCGAAAAGTCGCAGCAGGTATGTTGGTACTCTACTTTCCTCCCTCTCCCGATTTTTCGCCTTCTTTTTTTCCCGCTCTCCCACACTGCCTCCCGTCCTGTTTGGTGCGGTTCGGACCCGCTGCTGCACGCCTCGAAATCGGTGGGGATTTCATTCCACCGATGTTGAAGGCTAGCGGCAAAAGAAGGGGCAAAAAATTAAAATCCCCCCAAAGTCCAAGCGGAAATCGTATCTTCCAAATCTGGCCCGTTCGGCAGGGTCACGACTGACAGTTGGGTGCAGGCTCCTCGAAACGCGCTAGCAACGGCCGAGGAGGTTTCACGCGGGGTGTTTGGCCCTTTGGTCATCCAGCCACCTCAGCAACAGCAACCCGCACCAGTAGTTTTTGACTCGGCGGCAGCAGCAGCAGCAGCACCGGCGACAGCAGCACCGGCGGCAGCAGCACCGGAGCAGGGGCCAGAATCTGCAGCAGCACCAGCAACTGTGGCAGACGAGGATGAGGATGCAACAGGCGACGAGGACGACGAGGTGCAGCCTCCTGTGGAGGAGGCTGAAAACACGCGAAAGCGACAGCTGCAACTGACGAATGGATCGCCTCCAGTCAAGCGGGCGAGGCTCAGCAACGGGTGTGAAAATGGGGTGGCGACGGCTGATGCGACGACTGCCATGGAAATTGACAGCACCGACAACAACCATGCCTACCCGTCTCCGCTCGAGGTGGAGCAGGTGGTGCCGCCAGCGACCAGGACATTCGGCGCAGACCACGGAACGCAGGTGGACAAGGTGGACGAGCTTTCTCCAGCCACCATCTTCCTGAGCATGTCGGCCGACGACGCAGCGGCGCCTGGCGCGGCGCGGCCAGCGACGCCGCCAGCAGACGGCACGCCTACTCGAGCCCAGCACAACCCTATCGTCTTGCATTGCGAGTGGAGCCCCAGCGACCCATCTGTCTTGGCGGCTGCCGGAACCGATGCGCTAGCCCGCATTTGGACAATCTCGCGTCCAGCCGCCCCTGACCCCGTCACCGGCCACGTGACGGCCGAGTGCAACCAGCCCTTCGAGAGCATCATGGAGGACGACGTGCTGCCCAATGCCTCGGTCACAGCCATGGCCTGGAACTGGGACGGCACCGCCGTGGCCATCGCGACCGACTCGGGCAACAAGGCCCGCATCAGCATCTGGGCTGCCGACGGCTCCCAGCTGCTGCGCTTCGACGTGGCCGAGCCGCCCATCATCAAGCTCAAGTGGAACCCCAACAACTCGTCCATCCTCGCCATCGCCCCCGACAATGACGGTGCCATTGTTACTGTCTTCGACTCGCGGGCCTCCAACACGGTCTCGTACAGCCTTGCCACACACGATATCGACGCGAATCCGCTCGACGCCGCCTGGATCAGTGAAGATGAGTTCCTACTCTGCGGGGGCAAGGTACTTGAGTCGTTTCAATGCAGCAAAACGGAGATCGTCTCCGCCAAAAAGTATCCCACCAAGGAGGACGACAATTTCACTCAGGTTCAGTTCGATCATAGGTCAAAACTGGTGGCCACAGCTAGCGAGTCTGGCAGGATAGATGTGAGTATTTTTGTTGTCCTCGGCGCTTTTTTTTCTGCCTTTTTTTTCTTTTTCTTTTCTCTTTGCCGGGTTTCCTTCCGTTTTGGCGAGCGTAGTTGCGCTGCACTGGAGGCGGTGGGCTAACTAGACAATGCGCGGCGGCTATCAGCTCTGGGATGAGTCGTGCCAACGGCGCTCAATCTCGGCGCACTCGGGGTCTATCACATCCTTAACGTGGCAGCCGCTCAAAGCAAACCCAGCCGACGACGAGAGGTTACTAGCTTCGGGCGGAGAGGACGGCATTATACACATCTGGAACGCCCGACTGCCCGAAAACAAGCCGAAGTGGACCATGACCATGGATCCGCCCGTGGTAGCGCTGTCGTTTACACCAGATGGTGCCTTTATCGCCGGCGCGACGACGGACCAGATCCTCATTTGGAAAGTGGGCGAGTATTCTGTACCACGGGCTAGCTGGAGCAGGATCGCGCATCCAGGCTGGCTCAGTCAGAAGCCAGGTGGCGGCGGCTCGAGTGCCGAAGATAGCCACTCCCTCTGCTGGGACGCAAGCGGACAGAAGCTGGCATACGGAACAAACAGCCTGGTATGTCCAACAATGCTTTGGCGGTGTGCTGGCAGTCGGAAGCCCACCACCAACCCTCTGTTTCGTTCTGCAAGTCTCTTAAGCTAACCATGGAACTGTATCATGTCAAAAGGTTGCCGTGATCAGCTTTAGGTGACCAAGGGGCCAGCTGTGCACGTGCACATGGCATTGACTCTCGTTTGAACGGATTTTTCCTTTGTCCGATTTTTGCATACGTTTTCCGACGCGCGGATTTCTCAATATTGCTATATATATCTTTCTTATTTGTCGTTTCAATGTCGGGTACTCGAGCGTTCTTGCTGCGCTTGGTTGGTGAAAGGGGCCTGAGTAAATAAGGAGATTTGGGCCGGCGCGTGGGGTGGCAGGCGTTGGTTTATTTTTGATCATCTATTTGTATTTTGGGCTGTTTACCCTTATCATTTATTCTGGCATGTCTTCCCTCATATTGCTCCTCCCTCTCTGTTATCGTCTTCTTTTCTTGCCTCGTCAGTGTTCTGCCTGATGCAAGCATACTCATCTTGGCTGTATGTTTGTTTGAACATCAAAAGGTCGCGATGAGGTTGGGCACGAGGGAATGCGAGGGTATGAATTGGGAGGCGGGATGGGCGGGAGTCTGATCTCTGTGGAAACTGGGAACAAGCACGGGCGAGCCATGGATGTACACATATACGGTGCTTTACTAGGAGATTTAAAGCATAGACTCGTTTTGGCTGGTGCAAGTCTCGTCAGTTCTGATAGACAGATACAGCTGAGTTGATGTCAAGTCAGTCGAGGACAATGGCAGAGCGGCCTCGGCACAGGGTTCTACACAAGCGGATTGTGCGTTCCACTCGCTCGAGCAGCAGACCAGGTGGCGAGGACAATGGGCTCTTTGCATGCCGAGCCGTTGTTTGTGTGGCGGCCATTGATGGGTTCGGGTTGGCCCTGCGACAAGGGCCCCCCCTCACAAGGCGTCCCGCCCTGGGGCCTGGTGGCTTTTTGGCTACACCTCATCTGTCGGACGGCGACTCAAGCGCTGGGTTCGGTGGAGGTAGGAACGGCAAGCTGCAAGAGAGAAAAATAAAAGCTAGACGATAATGTATGAGGCATCAACTCGATTGTCTCTCGGTTATTCTTTTTCCTTCTTTTTTTTCCCGTCAGGTTTGCTTGGCGGGTGAGTTCCATGGATGACTGCGCGTCTGGGCCCACAAGCTGCCAGCAACGCCAGTACCCACAACTCTACGCCAGCACGACGCCAGGTTTCCTTTTGCCCGCTAGACCGACCCGATTGGTCTCTTTTGGGGGCACACCCCTCCCTTGCCACGACCGCTGCACGCCAAATGCGCCCGCGTCCAAAGGGGCACGACCGGTTGTTGCGTTTGCCCCGCCCGTCAGAACGGGTTCGATTTTCGGTCTGGTACGGCCGGGGGGGGGGGGGGGGGGGGGGGG